CTGTTGACACAGTTGATGCCCCCAATGAAGACCATGTTGGGCATGATGGGCCTGGGGTAGTCCAGCACAAAGTCATTTCTGAACAGCCACACGGATGCATGGCTAAGAATATCCACCAATGATACCTCTCTCTGAAGAACCTCGGAGGCCAGGCTTGCATAACGAGAAAAAGAAATATGGCACATGTAGAACAAGGCCAGAGGGTAGAGCATGTTCTTGACCCTTTCCATGAATGTCATGTGGTCTGAATTCCTTGTTAGGTACCTAGGAACATACGAGGAAGGGTTCGGACACTGTGTGCCCTCAAAGTCTAAGTGACATGCAATGGAACGCAAAAAAAACACAGTGGGAATAGACAGGTACTTAGCCAGCACCGCCCCACAGGGGTAAACAGGGTCTGTTAAAACCACATCAAATGAACTGGCATTCAGGTGGTCGATCAGGGTCTTGTTATGAATTAGGTCTGCACAAGACTTATAAAAATATGCAGATGTCCTTTTGAAAACCGCCACAGTTTCAAAAATCGTCTTCAGAAAATGTTGTCTTTCAAATGAAATTTGAATGTGTTCCTTAACGAAGTGCCCAAAGTCGTACTTGGCGTATGGAAAACCATAGGTTTTCATGGTTACAAAGTCCTCTACTTTGATGCGCATATTCACCTCTGGTGCGAGGACCACAGCTTGGTGGCCTCGGGCATGGAGCTCCCTCACCACCTCTCGCATGCTGAGCCAGTGGCTGCCATCCATGGGTACCACCAGCACCTTCTCACCCTCAGCCCAGGGCTCACCACTCAGGAAGAGCAGCAGCCCCAGAAGCCCCATTGGAAGAACCTGGAGTCCGGTGGCCATCTCGGCAGAAGCCAACAGCAACTAACTTTCCACCGCAGGCTGTGCCTCTTATATTCATTTTTTTCACCCTTGTTAGTTTATCATTGAGTCATTTAGCAAAATGGCATGTAATTGAAAGACAGAGTGCACTCCTTAAGTTAATCATTACAAAATAAATCTATCCCTATCTGGCTCCCGGGAGAGCTCCAATCACTCCTATCTTGGAAAAACTCATCTGACCCTGCTGCTCTCTTTGAGGAACATTTGAGTTCAGTCTCATGTTTTTCATCCAATGTCCTAAATATGTGCACACACGTTTCATATGATCGCCTCCTACTTCTCTATTAACCACATTCTACCAGGCTGTGACTATGCTCTGAAGAGTCGCCAATGTCCTGGTCCCCAACCATAACCTCTCTGCTAGATGTGATCCTATCTTGGAACTGCTTCCTCCCCTGCATGAGTAACACAGAGCACACCCCGAGAAGCATATAACATTGCTAAGCCAGCTCTCTCTAAATGAGTAGGGAGATGCTGGCTCTCTGGTTTTGTTCATTTTCCATACCACAATATCTCTTGTAATGATCAGAGAGGATTCTATTTGAAGTGCTTCTCAAGCAAATAGCTGGAGGGACACTGACCTCAAGATGGGATGATGTGATTCTGTTGAAGGGTTTGTTGAGAATTCCACGTCTACTCCATGGAATATGAAATGCTATTATCTAAGGCACACATGGGCAAGACAACCCTAAGCAATGACACACAGTGAGTTTGGAACACATCCTGCTCCC